ACTAGACAAACTAGCTTCATCGAGCGTGCACATATCAAGCTGAAATTGGATGCACATAAGAAACATTTGCAGCTCTCTGTACAATTAATTTTTCTGGCTTAGAAGTAAATTAAATATGTTTCCAGATTATTTATTTAGTGACAAAATCTGTTGTTAAAGTAACGTAAGTTTGCAACGTCCATTAGCCACTATTACAGATATATTACAGACGATGCTACAAAATTAATTATACGTTATTTTTTCTGTTTTTTTTTTCTCATCTTTTTAATTTAGACCACAAGGTTCTAAAGTTTGGAGCTGGTTTAGATATATATGCATATAAAACGTCTAGATATTAGTCAACAATCTTTCTTACGAGGACACTGGATCGTCATGAATAACGATACATGTACACAATAAATAAATTATATAAACGCCTTAAAAGTGTACAAAACAAAACAAATATTAAAAAAAGAAACATTGAATATAAGTATTTCGAATAACAGATATCCTTCATCAGTATGATCATGATGATGTAAAATGATTCATATCAATCTGTTCTGAATTAAATGAAACAATCTATACAGTTATAAAAACCGAACAACGCTTGTATAATTCTAGAATTTCAAAAATTAAGTATTTGCAACAGAGAAGACATAGATATGCTTTTTTAAAGAATAGTATGAATAGTGATGAACCACGTTATAAATGAAAATACATGATTTCTATTATTTTACATCATGTTAAAATTATTTAATATTAACGGAAATTCCAGTGTATAGTTTTAAAAGTCTTTGAATTCTTTGTTTACTTTTGATCTACGTATTTAACAAAATGTGTAGGTTGTCTATAAACGTTCCCATTATATACGTACATATTTCATTATATAGGAGAAATCTCTATTTAAAGCTAAACGTATAAAAAAAGAATATCTTTTTCTAATATGATCGATAAAATGGGATACAAATCCTGAAAAGCTTTGCATAAAAATATTTTTTACGGTATGTAAGTCAGATAATGCATTTTAAAGTGTTTTCTTTTTGGGTGTCAGCATTGGCAAGAGAAAGACATCCCAACGATCGGTCTTTTGATTGCTCGATCCTGATACCCTTCGGTGTATAACATGTTTACGACGAAGAAAACCCGTAAAATCTGCATTAGCTATAACATAAGGGTCTCTTATTTTGACCATTTCTGCTTCTTTAATCAAATTGCTGAATTCTATTTTAGTTTGAGTAAGTAAAACAATTTGTAAAAAATTAAGGAAAATTATATGATATTAAAAAAACAAAGATATGAAGGAAAATTGAATCAATTGCCAATAGTGCAAGTGTTACAGACTGCTATAATTGACTATGTTTGGGATATATATAGCAATGAGGGGTTTCTCTCAGTACGCAGCAATTATCTGTCGTATTCCCAAATATTAAAAATAATAACTACTTCTTGTGAAGATATTAACCTAACCAATCACATTTGAAATACAATTCGTCAATAGATATAGAAAGATGTGGTATGGATGCCAATGAGACAACTCTCCATCCAAGTCACAATTTGTAAAAAGTAAACCATTATAGGTCAAAGTACAGCCCTCAACACGGAGCCTTGGCTCACACCGAACAGCAAGCTATAAAGGGTCACAGAATGAACTCATCATAGAAACCAGGATTGAAATTTTGTATTTGCGCCAGACTCGCGTTTCGCCTATAAAAGAGTCATCAGTGACGCTCGAATAAAAAAAAATTAAAAAGGCCAAAAAAAGTACAAAGTTGAGGAGCATTGAGGACCAAACATTCCTAAAAGTTTTGCCAAATACAGCTAAGGCAATCTATTCCTGAGGTAGAAAAGCCTTAGTTTTTCAAAAATTCAAAGTTTTGTAAACAGTTAATTTATAAATATGACCATATCAATGATAATTCATGTCAACACAGAAGTGCTGACTACTGGGCTGGTGATACCCTCGGGGAATAAAAATTCCACCAGCAGTGGCATCGACCCAGTGGTTGTAAATAAACTCATCATAGATACCAGGATCGAAATTTTGTATTTGCGCCTGACGCGCGTTTCGTCTACAAAAAAACTCATCAGTGACGCTCGAATAAAAAAAAGTTAAAAATGCCAAATAAAGTACGAAGTTGAAGAGAAATGACTAGTGTAATTTAATCAAGAAAACCAAACGTCTAATCTATATAAAAAAACGAGAAACGAGAAACAGTTATGAACCACATCAACAAATGACAACTACTGAACAGCAGGTTCCTGACTTAGGACAAGTGCAAACAAATGCAGCGGGTTTAAACGTTTTAACAGGCGCCAACTTTCACCCTAACCTGAAACAGTAATATTACATTACAACATAGAAAACACACTATAAACTATCAATTGATATGGTTTAATTCGATCAAAAAGAAATATTAACAAAACAAGTAAATCTACACTGAACGAATAAATTTGATCTATGACACAATATGAATACAATATGTAAAACAATGTCAAAAGACAACTATAACCTGGGACAAAATGGCGTTAAATAAAATAACGTACACAGATAACTCTAAATAAAATAATGCGTTTTTTAGGAGTACGAAAATATTTGTATGCCCCCGCCGTAGCGGAGGGGGCATTAAGTTTTACCCTTGTCCGTCTGTACGTACGTACGTACGTCCCAAAGTTGGTTTCCGTTCTCTAACTTTAGTTTGCCAAATGTTATGAAATGTATACACAATGCTTATTACCACAAAACACAGATCTATTTTGAATTTTGGTGGCGTCACTTTTACCGTTCTAGAGTTATGCTTCTTTACAAATGGAAACATTGCTGAATTTTTCGTTTCCGTTCTCTTACTTAAGTTTGCCTCAACCAAATGTTATGAAACTTATAAACAATGCTTATTACCACAGAACTCAGATCAAGTACAAATTTGGGTGGCGTCACTTTTACAGTTCTTGAGTTATGTCCCTTTATAATATTATATGCAAGTGGGGGCATCATCTGTGTCCCATGGACACATTCCCCATTTATTTACAAAATAATTTTATTGTCCATAGTACGAAAACAGAAGTGAAAAATATACTAAACACTTATCAAAGGTGGTACATATAAAAAAGTGAGACGAGATATAAAACAAAAACAAGCAAACATTGAATAACAAAAATGAATTTCAAATTGTGTCAACAGGTCAACACGAAAGTATGATTTGAGAGTACTTGCAGTTACTGAAAGCTAGTTAAAAGCCAAAAACAATTGAAAATAAAAAATCACGCACCAGAGACTTAAATCAATCAAAACACATCCCAGGGGTTAAGTGTTTTAACGCCATGGACAAAAGTGTATTTCAGTTGATAAAAAACTACAACAACTGTTTACGTTTGAAGCAAAGGATAGAATGTTTCTGTCCATGTTATCTTTGTTTGTTTGCGATGTTCTAGAGATTGTTTTTCTCTTCATCCTATACGTCCTAAACTTATTTATTATTTATACTGTACACAATGGGATATTTTCTTTGTTTTATCTACAGTTAACCAGACTAATTAAGGTCGCATTGGACATGTAGATTCCTTAAACTTCTGATCAATATGGATCTACCATTTTACTATGGTTTTAAATCAAAGTTAATCATGATGTGCTACTGTTTAGTTGTATCAATCTTTGGTATATATCCCATATATACAGTAATTGTCACAGAATAACACAAATAGAAAAAGGATTATATAGAGAAATAGTTATAATAACAATTTTATTCAACTTTATTACTAGGGAATATGAAAAAAATATAGAGGAGAAACGGATACTGGAAGCTGATGTCCAGAGACTCACATGTCAGTTACAAGAAACAACAAAGTATGTATTTTATCATGTTCACTGTGTAGCATCAACACCGGATATAGGTACAATCGAAGCTAAGAAACAATAATTACAAAAAGTATCTATATATTCAATTCCCCGTACAGTAAAAACAATTCGCCGTACAATTTATTTTCTATGAAAAACAATACTATTAGTTGATTTTGAAAGACCGTGTTGTTCAAGATGAAATATGATTTAATTTTGTTCTTCGAAAACTCCGAATGAATAGTTGAATGATAACTGTGTTTTAACAAGTTTGAACTTGTTACTTGCTTCTATGAACAGGTGCCACGTTGTCCGATTCTGACGATTTGAATAGAGAGGAAGCAAAATAAGGATCATAATTAGCCCTAGATAGTAGCTACATTATAAGGAATCAGTATCACAAAACGTTACTTGTCAGCAAAACGTAGAATATAATGAAAATAAGAAAAAATGACTTTAACGGTCTTCACATTTAATTTTTCAACCGCTTTGGGCATACATATATTCGGTGGTGATGCTACTTAGTAATGTTAATACAATATAAAAAAATAAAATGTATAATTCTATACAGTGATGACTTTCTAGACTATTTGTCAATTCTTTTAGTTGTTCGATTGTTCATGCAGTGTTCTGGATCTTGTAGAGCTACATGTATTATAATTTATTAATTGAATGTCACTAATTACTTAGAATCGTTTTTCTTTTTCTTTTTTTTGTATTTCTTTGTAGGATTTCTATAATTTGCATTGTGTTCTCATATAACTACAAATTTGTCACAGAGTCAGTTCTAACGTAATAATTGTGACAAATAAACGTCACCTCATATTTAGTAAGGTTTACATTTGAACGTTCGAAACAATTTTCAAAACAATAGTCAAAGCAACCGTAGTTCATCTTAACCTTAAGCGCTGAGTCTTAGTTTCTTAATAATTTACAAATTTTCATGAATGATTTAAGAAATGTTAAGTACCAAGCACTGCCTACCGAGCTGATCAGACCATCGAAGATAAGCAAACCAACACCATCAGTATCGACTGAAAGGTGGAAAATGAACATAAAACTATATATTTGGTAGGTCCGAAGCGCTTTTTGGATTTAATTTCATAACGAACGCTCAAACCAAACAATATATGAAAACCTAAGAAGCTATATGAAAAATATGTACATTAATTGGTCTTTTCAATTCTTTACCAGGCAATCTGAAATAATTGTAGAAGAGAAGGAAGCTGAGATCCAAAGACTGAAAAATCAAATAGAGTACGTATAAAATGCACGTTATAAAAATCCCGTTTAATCGCCTTTAAAAAATAATTTCTATAAACTAGCTATAAATTTAACAAGAGTAAGGCAAAGACAATCGCTCACATTAACACGATTTCTTGTTTTTACGCGTATCTAGCCTACCAAATTATATGCCTGATATCTCTGATCGTCATATATACACATTTTCGTTTGACGTTGAAATATTTTTTTTCTGTTTGAAAACTTGTAAAGTGCATTCAATGTGTTATAGATTGTTGTTTAACTAACTTCCGATTATAAATATTTCATTAATGTTCATAACAAGCAAAAAAGAATAAAAATTATTAAATATAATAAGGCAAGTTCGAAAATTTTGGGGGACAAAGTATAGTTTGCAAAAGTGAACGTCACTAGATGCGACCAGCACTTATGCTTTATTTAATGTAACCTACTTACTTTCATCCGAAAGAGTTGTTGAAATTGTTTAAAATAATCAAATTGGCGACACAGTACAACATTTCGTAAAGGATAAAACGTCTCTGTACTACGATCCTGTGTTTTTAAACATTCTACATAACCAACAAACACCAAAATATTTGTAATCCAAAATGTAAAAATCAAATGGAAGAGGAGATCAAAAAAGATATACCCAAATCCGGACAACGAATCAGAGCTTTGCATTCCTTAATTAAGAATAACTTCAAAAAATTTTAACAGCAAATTATAATCAAATAATATTCTTATTTTCATTGTTGTAGTTCAGTTTTCACGTGTAGACATTAACAGTTTACAGAAAGGTCGCATTTGGACATGTAGATTCCTGGACTTTCTGATGAATTTGGACCTACCATTTTACTATTGGTTTCAATAAACGTTAATTATGATTTGCTTCTTTTAAGCAAGCAAATAAATCAATCTTTGGTACTTATCTCATATACTATTATATAATAGAGTTATTCTTATAGAAATACACAAATGAAAATAGGTTTATAGAGAGAAACAGTAATACAAAAAATTTATTCAACTTTATTACTAGGGAATATGAAAAATTTATAGAAGAAAGACGGACACTGGAAGCTGATGTCCTCAGTATTACATGCCAGTTTCATGAAACCACAAAGTATGACTTTATAGAATGTACAAATTAAATGTATAATTCTACGCAACGATGTCTTGTTAGACTATTAGTCAAGTCTTTTATTTGTTCAAATGTTCATGTAGTTTTCTGGATCTTGTAGAGCTATTATAGTATGTTAATTTAAGCTCACTAATTACTTAAAACCGTCTGTCTTTTCATTTTTTATTTTTCTTTGTAGGGTTTCTATAACTTGCACAGTATTCTATTTCTAATTCAAATTTGCCATAGATTCAATTCTAACGTTATAATTGTGACAAATAAACTTGATCTCATATTCAGTAAGGTTTACATTTGAACGTTCGAAACCATTTTCAAAACAATAGTCAAAGCAACCGTAGTTCATCTTGACCTTAAGCGCTGAGTCTTAGTTTCTTAATAATTTACAAATTTTCATGAATGATTTAAGAAATGTTAAGTACCAAGCACTGCCTACCGAGCTGATTAGACCATCGAAGATAAGCAAACCAACACCATCAGTATCGACTTAAAGGTGGAAAATGAACATAACACTATAAATTTGGTAGGTCCGAAGCGCTTTTTGGATTTAATTTCATAACGAACGCTCAAACCAAACAATATATGAAAACCTAAGAAGCTATATGAAAAATATGTACATTAATTGGTCTTTTCAATTCTTTACCAGGCAATCTGAAATAATTGTAGAAGAGAAGGAAGCTGAGATCCAAAGACTGAAAAATCAAATAGAGTACGTATAAAATGCACGTTATAAAAATCCCGTTTAATCGCCTTTTAAAAATAATTTCTATAAACTAGCTATAAAATTAACAAGAGTAAGGCAAAGACAATCGCTCACATTAACACGATTTCTTGTTTTTACGCGTGTCTAGCCTACCAAATTATAAGCCTGATATCTTTGATCGTCATATATACACATTTTCGTTTGACGTTGAAATATTTTTTTTCTGTTTGAAAACGTGTAAAGTGCATTCAATGTGTTATAGATTGTTGTTTAACTAACTTCCGATTATAAATATTTCATTAATGTTCAAAACAAGTAAAAAAGAATAAAAATTAATAAATACAATAAGGCAAGTTCGAAAATTTTGGGGGACAAAGTATAGTTTGCAAAAGTGAACGTCACTAGATACGACCAGCACTTATATAATGTAACCTACTTACTTTCATCCGAAAGAGTTGTTGAAACTGTTTAAAAAAATCAAATTGGCGACACAGTACAACATTTCGTAAAGGATAAAACGTCTCTGTACTACGATCCTGTGTTTTAAACATTCTACATAACCAACAAACACCAAAATATTTGTAATCCAAAATGTAAAAAACAAATGGAAGAGCAGATCAAACCAAAAAGGACATAAGATTTACTCAAATCCGGACAACGAATCAGAGCTTTGCATTCGTTAATTAAGAATAACTTCAAAAAATTTTAACAGCAAATTATAATCAAATAATATTCTTATTTTCATTGTTGTAGTTCAGTTTTCACGCGTAGACATTAACAGTTTACAGAAAGGTCGCATTTGGACATGTAGATTCCTGGAATTTCTGATGAATTTGGATCTACCATTTTACTATTGGTTTCCATAAACGTTAATTATGATTTGCTTCTTTTAAGCAATCGAATAAATCAATCTTTGGTACTTATCTCATATACAAAAAATTTATTCAACTTTATTACTAGGGAATATGAAAAAAATATAGAGGAAAAACGGACACTGGAAGCTGATGTCCTCAGTATTACATGCCAGTTTCATGAAACCACAAAGTAAGTACTTTATAGAATGTAAAAATTAAATGTATAATTCTACGCAACGATGTCTTGTTAGACTACTAGTCAAGTCTTTTATTTGTTCAAATGTTCATGTAGTTTTCTGGATCTTCTAGAGCTATTATAATATATTAATTTAAGGTCACTAATTACTTAAAACCGTCTGTCTTTTCATTTTTTATATTTCTTTGTAGGGTTTCTATAACTTGCACAGTATTCTATTTCTAATTCAAATTTGCCATAGAGTCAATTCTAACGTTATAATTGTGACAAATAAACTTGATCTCATATTCAGTCACGTTTAAATTTGAACGTTCGAAACGCTTTTCTGGATCTACCTTTGCCATGCACACTTAAACTGAAAACAATAAAATTTCAAGGATTTATAAATGCTTAAATACTTTAATGACAAAAAAGGAACGTAAATATATTGTCAAATCAACCGTGGGTCATCCAAACCAAACAATATATGAAAACTTTAGAAGCTATTGATTGGTCGTTTTCAATTCTTTATTAGGCAATCTGACATAATTGTTGAAGAGAAGGAAACTGAGATCCAAAGACTGAAACATCAAATTGAGTACGTATAAAATGCAACTTATATTGGACAATATAAACAGCCCGTTTGATCTCCTTTTTAAACTTATTTATATTAACTTGCTATAAAATTGAAAAAAAGCAAGGCAAAGACGATTGCTTTAATTAACACGATTTCTTGTGTTTACGGGCGTCTGGCTTACCAAATCATAAGCCAATCATAAGATATATTCTTTTTCTGTTTGGGCACTTGTAAATTACTTTCAATATGTAATCGATTGTTGTGGAACTAAAAAAGAAAAGAAAAAAAGAACAAAAATGATTAAATGCAATCAGGTAATTTCGGAAAATTGGGGACAAAGTATAGTTGGCAAAATTAATGCTTTATATAATGTTAACTACTGACTTTAACCCGGGAAAATTGTTGAAACTGTTTATAAGAATACAAGGTTGGCGACTTTCTTCAACAACTCGTAAAGGACAAAACATCTCCATACTTCAGTCCTTTGTTTTTTAAACATTCTACATAACTAACGAACTCTGTCAGAAAACACAGACTCGAAGGATATTGATATTCAAGTAAAAATCAAGATACACAAATAACAAATCGTCCTTGCTTTCTCACCTTCCTAATCATATGTTTTTTTTATTAACAATAATTAAAATAAAACCGACCAATTACATGATTTGTAGACCCCAATCTCCCTGTATACATGTAGGCATAAATGTTTCTAGGTAATCAAAATGTGAAATGTCCATACAATTGTCATTAAAAAGAAATGCCTTCTTTAAGAAATCAAATGAAAGTCATGAAGGATTTAAAGTTAATGGCGCTGGATTAATACTGTTTCTGGTGGACGTTTAGTTCATAAGGGTATCATCAGCTCAGTAGTCAGTGCTTTGATACTTAACTAATTTATAACATACATTTAAAAAAATTCCGCTGATTAACTTAGAAAAAAATAAAAACAACAAGAACTCACAATCAAACTATGGTTCCAATTCCCACAGTCAAATTTAACCATCGTTAGATTTGGCTATTCGTTTATGTCACTTCTGGATTCTTCGCATGACGTGTGTTACATGCATAGCAGGCGACGCCTATCCTGTCGACGCATCGGGTCTTGCTCCTTTTGAAGTCTTAAGATTCCCTTAGTCTTTGTTTAATTCATGGAATTGTCTCTTAATAGATTGGCGAAATTTGGACATATATAAACTACGGTCGACCTAATTACGCATAATGCTCATAATTTATTCAAGAATGTATACTTCCTTGGCTCTCAAATGTTTATTAGTTCAAAATGAAGGTTAATTCCGAAAGGCGCTTCGGAAACACCCAATTTATATAAAGTGTTGTCTTTTCTCTATTTTGTGACGCATTAAAAACCAAATGTTCCGAATGATGTTCCAAATACGGATAAGGTTAAACCATGCCTTGTGGTAAAAACCCGATTATAGTATTTCAAATACTTTCAACATTTTACAAGCAGCAAAATTTCCGAAACATGACCGTCTCAATGGTATTGTATTATTTTGACAGCTGAGTGTATTTTCCGTGACGTTTCTTTTCATATTTCCAATGACAATTTTTCTTATGTGAAATCAAATTTATACTCAAGATTTGAATAATCCCTATTTTCTTGATAATACTTTAAATCACTGACAAAAATCATGTTGTATTGATGCTTATTTAAAATGATGAATTATTTCAGAAACCTTCATGATGAAAAGTCTGACATTTTGAAACGACTTTGCTTCTTGAAAGACTATGATATACAATCCAAAGACCAACCACACACTACAACTGATCAAAAAACCAAATGTACTGATGATCAATCAATTTCAGAAGTACTTGATATCATTGAAATCAATATGTCTTATCTGAATAACAATCTATAAGTATTTATCCCGATATGAAAATCTAATTCAGTTTTAAAATTTTGGTTTTGATATATTGTGTATAGGGGGACACATCATTAGTTGTTATTCATATACTAGTAATGATTTGAAAACTTCACCTGTTTTGATGATTATACATTCTTGGCTTTGAATATTCGGCTTTGAGCGTTCGTAATGAAATTAAATCTAGCGCCTCGGACGTATACAATTTACAAAGTATTATTTTTAACCGGATTTTTTGAAGGAAATATCGGTTATTAAAATGGTGATATACGGCGGGTGGCTGGGCGGTTTGGCGGCTGCCAAACAGTGTCAGCACAATAACATGAAAAAGCTTTAACAAATTTTTTTTCAAATTTAAATATGTTGTTTCCTCGGACTTAATGAAGGTCTCTATTAATTTTCAAGATTTTAGTATATCTCCTTTGTGAGTTATCGCCATTTTTAATATCCAAAAGTAGAATTTTTAAATATTTTACTGTCGTTATCATGTAATGATTTGTCTTATCTCAGAATAAAAATTGGAGTGACAGATTTATTTAAAAATCATCTATTTCCTAAGTGGTAATGATTATAAGCTATATCATAAGACATTTTGAAGATTATTACATTATTAATTATGTTAGAGTACTATGTTAAACAACCATAGTTCTGTTCAATTAGATATCATAAATATTTCAGCATATGATAATGATTTATTTTCATTATTAATTAGATCTTGGAAATATTTTAGCATATGATAATCATTGGAGTGACGGATTTATTTGAAAATTTTCTGTTTTCTGATAAGATCTGTAGGACTATATATATACAGTTTGAAACTTTCTAGTATTACTTTATAAATGAAGTTTGGAATTTACTGTTCATTATTAGACATTTTGTAGATAATTAAGTGTCCGTTAATCATATATATTCTTACCCCTACCCCCCTTCAATTTGATAATGTGCTTTTATCTTATTAACAGTTGAGATCCCTACTCCTAAACCATATATATTCTTGTATGGGACAATAAAACAAATCAAATGAAATATTGGGATAGTCCTCGGGTTCACAGCTACCCTCCTTTTTTTTGAAAACTTGTAAATGTGCAAGCTCCCCACCCTGCAACCATATATATTCTTGTATGTTACAAATCAGATGAAATAAAAGGTGAGTCCCCTCGGGTCACCCCCAGCGTGTCTGTTTGAGAACTTGTAACCGGTCGAGATCTCCATCCCTAAACCATATATATTTTTGTATTGGACAATAAAAGAAATCAAATGAAATATAGGGGAAGTCCATTGTGGTAACCCCCACCCCCTTCTGTTTGAGAAATTGTAAACGGTTGAGATCCACTCCCCTAAACCATATTTATTCTTGTATTTGACAATAAAACAAATCAAATAAAATTTAGGGGACGTCAACGAGGGTAAACCCCACCCCCTTCTTTTTGAAAACTTGTCAACAGTCAAGATCCCCACCCTGAAACCTATTTCTTCTTGTATATTGCAATAAAACAAATCAAATGAAATAAAAGTCGAGTCCCCTGGGGTCACCCTCACCTTTTTCCTGTTTAAGAACTTGTAAACGGTTAAGATCCCTCACCCCTAAACCATATATATTCTTGTATGGGACAATAAAACAAATCAAATGTAATATAGGGGAAGTCCATTGGGGTAACCCCCACCCCCTTCTTTTTGATAGCTTGTAAACAGTCAAGATTCCCACCCAGAAACCATATGTATTCTTGTATGGGACAATATATCAAATCAAATGAAATATAGATGAAGTCCATGGGGGTAAATCCCAACCCCTTCTTTTTAAAAACTTGTAAACGGTTGAGATCCCCACCCCTAAACCATATATATTCTTGTATGGGACAATAAAACAAATCAAATGAAATTTAACGGAAGTCCACGGTAGTAAACCCCACCCCCTTCTTTTTGAAAACTTGTAAACGGTTGAGATCCCCACCCCTAAACCATATATATCCTTGTATGGGACAATAAAACAAATCAATTGAAATTTAGGGGAAGTCCCCTGGGGTAACCCCCACCCCTTTTTTTTTGAAAACTTTTAAACAGTCAAGATCCCCACCCTGAAACCATATGTATTCTTGTATGTTACAATAAAACAAATCAAATAAAATAAAATAAAAGTCCCCTGGGGTCATCCCCACCTTCTTTCTGTATAAGAACTTGTAAACGATCCTCATCCCTAAACCATATATATTCTTGTATGGGACAATAAAACTAATCAAATGAAATATAGGGGAAGTCCATTGGGGTAACCCCTACCCCCCTTTTTTGATAACTTGTAAACGGTCTAGATTCCCACCCAGAAACCATATATATTCTTGTATGGGACAATATATCAAATCAAATGAAATATAGGGGAAGTCCACGGGGGTAAACACTACCCCCTTCTTTTTGAAAACTTGTAAACGGTCGAGATCCCCACCCCTAAACCATATATATTTTTGTATTGGACAATAAAAGAAATCAAATGAAATATAGGGGAAGTCCATTGTGGTAACCCCCCACCGCCTTCTGTTTGAGAAATTGTAAACGGTTGAGATCCCCACCCCTAAACTATATTTATTTTTGTATTTTACATGAAAACAAATCAAATAAAATTTAGAGAAAGTCCACGAGGGTAAACCCCACCCCCTTCTTTTTGAAAACTGGTTAACAGTCAAGATCCCCACCCTGAAACCATTTTTCTTCTTGTATATTACAATAAAACAAATCAAATGAAATAAAAGTCGAGTCCCCTGGGGTCACCCTCACCATTTTCCTGTTTAAGAACTTGTAAACGGTTAAGATCCCTCACCCCTAAACCATATATATTCTTGTATGGGACAATAAAACAAATAAAATGTAATATAAAGGGAAGTCCATTGGGGTAACCCCCACCCCCTTCTTTTTGATAGCTTGTAAACGGTCAAGATTCCCACCCAGAAACCATATATATTCTTGTATGGGACAATATATCAAATCAAATGAAATATAGATGAAGTCCACGGGGGTAAATCCCAACCCCTTCTTTTTGAAAACTTGTAAACGGTTAAGATCCCCACCACTTAACCATATATATTCTTGTATGGGACAATAAAACAAATCAAATGAAATTTAACGGAAGTCCACGGTGGTAAACCCCACCCC